ATGACATTGGAGATTGTATGGTATCGATTGTAGAGTAAGGCTTGTAGGACAGGGATTGATTGATGAAGTGATAGATTGGTTGACTGTTATTACTTATTGAATAAAATGGTTTTCATAAAGGATTAAATTTCATTTTGTAAAAAATTTTCATTGAAATGTATTAAAAAAATTTTAAAATATTATTGTGGCATGCTAGTACTGCATTTCTTATTGAGTTGCCTAAAATTTACCCTAATCTAGATTGTCTTTTTAGGTTAGAGAATCCTAATAGAGTTGGCAGCCAGTGTGGATGTGAATATTGTCTCCTAGCTTGAGATTGAATCTATTTGGTAGCAATTATTCTAAATTATATTTAAATTATATGAGTAAACTGTTTAATTATACTGGAAATTGTATTTGGAATTCCCAATTAAGGGATGTATATTTTTATGTAGTTCGCTGCAAATGAATTAAATTTTTTAACTACTTGTTTTGCATCGTTTGGTTGGCGACTCTTCTCAGGAAGCTGGGAACGGGATGTCACACACATGAATTATTACTATTAGGTTAACTAATTAATATTATATATATAATATATAAGCTAAGAATGTATATATATATATATATGAGTATGAACTGGACAAGAAATTGGGGCCAAAATTAAGAGAGTGCGGCCATGGGAAAATGAAGAAGTAAGTGGAGTATGAGGTGTCGGTTTTTAAGATTTAAGGGTCATGATATATATAAAATATAATTATACATACACAATATAGTTGTGGGCATTAAAACTGAAAGGTGTTGGGTTGAATTAAGAGGATAAACATTTAGATGAGTCATGAATTAAGGAAGGAGGAGCTGTTGGAAAAATTAAAAACGGTGAAGCGGTGGTGTGGGCTCCGAGTGAGGAGAAAAGAATTGTGTTGCCTTTCCGCCACTTGGCTGCATTTTTGTGATTCATTCTCCCTATAAATAGGTTAATAAATTCACAATATTCATTTACCTTAAATCTTCAGCAATCGTATTTGAAATCTTTCTTTTTATCTATCTCTTTATGTATCCACTCGGACAGAGTCTTTCTTTATATTGCTTCAATTTTCTTGTAGAGCATATAATCTTAAATCCGACAGAATTCTAGTTTTATTTATGAAATTTTTCTCTAAAACATTTGCCGGAGTTTTGGGATAATTTTGGTCAACTTTTTTGACTTAAAAATATCCAACACAATACTCAAAAATTAATCCTAAAAATCAAATAGAAATCGAATTTCAAATTAAGAAAATGCTTACATTTCTAACAGTTTATAACCTCCTTTTGATTGTGAGTTTTCTTTCTCTTCTCTTCCTCTTCCTTTGCTCTCACAAATTCAACAGAGTTTTCTCAAGATTTTTATTGAAAAACCTCACAATACTCTCATAAAATCACACACTTTAGATTCCTTCTTTCTTCAAGTCTATGCTTCTCACTATTTTTCTCTTATACACAATATTTTTTCCTTCATTCTTCTATCCCCTATTTATAGGAGTAAGAAGCCACGAGAGAAAAGTTGCCACCATTCCGCTATGCCACATCATCTAAAAGTTGTCACGTTTCGTCATGTCAGTTTATCTAAAATGTTACCACTTTTTAAATATCACTTTATCTAAAAGTTGACACTTTTTGTTATGTCACTTCATCTAAAAGTTACCATTTTTCATTATAACACTTCATTTAAAAGGTTCCCACCTTTTTCCATACATCTTCATGCTTATTCTAGCTTCTTCATCCTTATCCGTCCTTTTTTCGTTGACTCTAAACTATGTTCTTAACCTTATTATTTATTTCCAAACATATATAAATGCTAAATTAAAGATATCAAATACGAGAAATTAATTCTGGAGGTATTTTCGAGCTATCACATCCTACCCCCTTAAAAAGTAATTTGGTCCTTCAAATTAGACTTATTAGTGGTAACAAACAGATGAGGGTATTTAGCATTCATTTCCTCTTCTAGCTCCGATGTAGCTTCTTTATTCGAATTATACTACCAGAGTACCTTTACTAAGGAGATCAACTTAGACTGTAATATCTTTTATTTGTGAATCACTATCTGCACAGGAAGCTCAATATAGGATAGGTTGTCATGAAGTGCATGGGGTTCATGTTGGAGTACATGCGATGGATCTGGGTGATATTTCTTCAGCATTGACACATGAAAGACATTGTGTATATTGGTTAACTCAGGTGGCAATACTAGATGGTAGGCGATAACTCCCATTCTATCCAATATCTCAAAAGTTTGATAAATCTAGAACTGAATTTTCCTTTTCTTCTAAATCTCATTATGCCTTTAATTGATAAGATTTTAAAAAATGCATGGTCGCCTACTTCGAGTTCTAAATTTTTTCTCCGATTGTCGTTATAACTTTTCTGTCTACTTTGAGTTGTCAAAAGATGCTTCCTAATAAATTTCACATTCTTTGTAGTTTCTTCCACTAATTTAAGTCTAACCAGTTTTCGTTCTCTAACTTCTTCCCAACAGATAGGCAATCTGTAGGATCTTCCATACAAAGCCTCACAGGGTGCCATTTAAATTCTGGACTGATATCTATTGTTATATGCGAACTCAATCAAAGGTAAATGATCGTCCTAATTACCTCACAACTTAATGACGCTGGCTCATAGCATATCCTCTTGAGTTTGGATGGTCCGTTCTAATTGACCAACCATCTGAGGATAAAAAGTTGTATAAACGGATAGCTTGGTCCTATGGCATTCTATAAACTAGTCCAAAACCTTGAAGTAAAATGTTGATCTCGATCAGAGATGATTATAATTAGAATTTCATACAATTTCACAATCTTCTTGATATAGAGCCTAACCAACTTGTCTAGTGGGTCATTTACTCTGATAATCAAAAAATGAGAAGACTTAGTCAATCTATTAACGATAACCCAAATGGTATCATACTAAGATCTTGTTTTAGGTAGACCCACCACGAAATTCATGGTAATATGTTCCAATTTTCACTCTGCTACTAGCAAGGGCTGAAGTAGTCCTACTGACATCTGACATTTAATCTTCACTTATTAACAGGTAAAACATTTAGAAACAAACTTTGATATATCCTTCATCCCACTCCATCAGTATTTGGTCCTCAAGTTCTTATACATCTTAGTGTTGCCATGGTGTATAACAAATTTAGAGTAATGAAGTTCTTCTAATATCTCATTCTTCAGGCTATTATTATCCAGCACACATACCCTGTTTCCAAACCTCAATACATAATCTTTTGATAGTCTAAATTCTTGCCTAAGTCCTTTACTGTCATCTTCCATAATTGACTTAAAGGAAAAATTAGACTGTTGGGCTTCTTGAATTTTTTGCACCAAAATGAGTTGTACTTTTATATTGGTTAAGTATCCTCTTGATCTCTTATGTTGGAAATTCAGATTCAACTTTTGGGGATTGCATATTATTGATTGTAGAGTAGGATTGTAGGATAGGGATTGATTGATTGATCATATTGTTACAATGATTTTCTTAATGAATTGTATTGCATTCAATGTTGTTTTTCACTGAATGCATTAAAAAGAAAATTTCAATACGTTATTTACGTTATTTGTGGCATGCTAATTTTGCTATTCTTATTGAATTGATTAGAACTCACCCCAATCCAGGTTTTCTTTTCAGGTTAGGGAACACGAATAGTAGCAGCCAGATGAGATGTGAGGAGAGTTCCTTAACTTTGGATAGAGTTGAGGTGGTAGATATTGATGTAAGTTTTGTTTTAATTTTTTTAGTTTAAAATTGTCTCATGTAATATGATTTCACTTCTGATTTCATTTCAAGGGATGTTTATTCTATGTAGTTCCGCTACATTTAATAATGTCTTCTTGGTCACTTTGTTGTGATATGAACGGCTGACATCCTGTCCTCTGGAATTAGGGACGAGACGTCACACCATATGTTAATGATGAAATTATTGAGATATATGAAAGTAAAGTTTCTGATGTATAGAATCGTTAAGTTATGGTTATGTAAAATTAGTATTATTGTATATTTTTTTCATGATTAGGATTTTGTTTTAAATAAAATCTGCATAAGTTTTATCGATCTTGTGTGATTGAGTGTGTAGATGTCTTTGGTTAGAGCACTGTCCCTTTTCCTTATTGAGCCTATGAAGCTCACCCCAATTCACACCTCTTTGTAGTGCAGATTAGTTCGGATCAGAAGTGTGTTGAAGAACGAAAGGAGACTCTAAAGAATCTTATGTGATTTTGGAGAATCTATTTTATAAAGTAGATTTAAATATATTATAATAACGTAATTCAGGAATTTTGTGAGGCTCATGAAATTCTTAAATTACAGCTCCAAATAAAGGATGTATAATTGATTTTTAAATTTTAGTATATTTTTACGTAAATTTATCAGATTATGTGTGTGGAATAGCACTCTTTTCTCAATAGAGAAAGTGGTTCGTTACATATAATAATTATTTATTTAAAATTTTTAAAATATCAATGAATTTTTAATATAAAAATAATTTTAATTTTTAAATATAAAATTAATTTTAATCACATATAATAGTTGTTTATTTAAAATTTCTAAATATAAAAATAAAAAGTAGTTTTTAATTAACTAAAATTTTTATATTGTATAATTAATTTTTAAAATTATAACATGTATGTAACATGAGTTGGAGATCTAATTAATTATAATAATAGTTCATCATATACACATTATATGTGATCTCTTTTTCTTTTTGTTAAACTCCCTTCGACATACTTTTAAATAAAAAATATCTACTTAGCACCATCAATAACCATGTGAGTATAAATTCTAATGGTAAATAAATATATTTCAATTTGGAACAATTTTGAAAATATAAGTTTTCTCTTAGAATTATTTTGACCAAAAAGCATATTCTTGCTTCTTCTTCTTTTTTTTTCATTAAAAATACATTTCAATATTAATATCTATAAACTCGTAACAGTTCAATTTTGGTTTGAAATTAAGTTCCTTTTTTATTTTAAATTTGAGTTTACTTAATATGGACAAAGGAAGCGGAAAAAAGAACTCACTAAGGAACATAATTTGAACAAGCTTCACTTCGCAGTTCAATAATAGCAATGTAGAATGAAATGCTAATAAGCTTCAAAAATTTATTATGTCACGAATGTTATTTATTTAGTTTGTTAATGGACAAATCAATACATTTATAAATCTCGTAACTTCATTCCTCGGGACTCAAAGTTTAATTTCTTTAACTAAAGAATTTTTTTCTAAAAAAATCATCTATGGCTTCGATTTTTGCCAAATCGAAATTAAAATGTAACGCAATCAACGTCAGCAATCCTCAAGCGTGTTTTGCTCGTTGCCAACCCTCATCAGGTATAGAAATAGGGATGTTATAAGAGGAGAGACAGTGGTGAAACCATTCATGTTTCATGCACCACTGGAAGTTACGTGAACAGCAGTGATGGTTAATGCATTTGACGGGCACACACGCACATGACATGACATGACACTAATATTATTTACCATAACTTTTCTTTATTTTCCCGACAAAAAGGTGTGCAAAAACTCGCCTCGCACGAGAACAAAGAAAATTCCTACTCCTCAAGGTAAAAGAACTTTCCTGCTTCTCAAGAGCTAGGGCTTCCATGCCATACTACTGCTAACGTTTCAACCACAAAAGGTAGAACTGAGTTGAATCCAAAGTGTATTAGGACTGGTTTTCTTTATATTAAAATTTTTTATTTTCAAATTTTAAGGATTAAAATTTCCATTGGGCTTATCATCACTCTACAAATGGGATCGTGACACTCACTCGATAGTGTAAATCTTTTAATTTGTTTTACAAAAAAAAAAAAAAAAAAACAAGCATTATAAGGTAATTTGAAACAATCGAAATACATAATTGCTTGCACAAAAAGCTAAAAGGGGAGTGCTCAATTTATCAAACAGGCATTATTCAAGATTTTCTACGGAATTGCAATCCACTTGACAAATTTAGAAGAACGTACTTCAATCATCCGAGCTATATTCGCTAGATTCTGGCATATGAGGTACAACAGCACAGGCAAATGACTCCTTGTCTTTGAGAAGAAGACAACTCCCGCCTGAATTTCGCTCGAGATCAAGCACGCTGAATTGTTGAAGGGGGTTAATAACACGGTTAACACAGGATGGAGTCCACATATGCAAGACGCTTGCATATTAAAAACTCGAATAGGATCCTTCCGGACCAAGACAGCAGCAAGCTCAAGGTGGCATATGTCCTAGGTCCAAGTAGCGTTTGGCGTGCTGTCGTTACGAGTGCATGTATACCAGATATCTTTCCTCCACATGCAATTACAGCTCGATTGACTTGATTAAAATTTTACACCACGTATTCAGTCGGGCTGATTTTGTCACCCAATTCTCCAAAACAGTGCATTATGAGGTCTAGTTTCATTGGATATAATGAAAAAGAAGAAATAGAAATTTTATTTGCAGCATTAAAGTAAACTACAATTGACCAATTCCTTGTTTAGGATTAGGTTTGCCTGCTGGATGCCTATGAAAAGGTCGAGTGGGGGGGATTTCGTAACCTCATGTATGACTTTGAAGTGTCCTTCAGAGGCATCTTTGCACGATAAAACACAATCAGTTTAGAACAAAAAAACAGACGACAAAGAAGTAAACTGTGGGGCACAAAGCGGTAAAACGGAAGAATTTAGCTTATTTGTAACTATGTTAAGATGTTACCAAAATTTATAACTAACATCTTTTACGCATTACGAAAATTTAGCTCATTTTAGGACATATTAGGTAGTTCCCACGTTAGAACTAATTTAGTAAGTTTTTTGTCTACAACCGAGTCTAAGAGTTGCAAATTGCGATTCTAGCATAATGTCATGTTAGGAATTTATAATTTCTTATGTCACCTTTTATTTGGCTCCTCCGTGCGTTTTTAATGCCCATAACGCAGAACTCTTTGAGACTAGATTTGTATCCTTATCATCCCAACATTATTGAGAATTCAGAATAATTTCTTGGGACTCACATACTCTATTATTTTTGTCTTGTTTAATTTTCTAAGTTTCTTTCAAAGCGCTCTCGTCCTACACCAAAAAGTCACTAAATACGTAAATTGGTCATGAAAGATTCAGAAGAAGGAAGATCATTACAAATTGCATATCCGAAACAATCCTCATAAGAATGGGTTTGTATAAAGTCATCATCCAGACATACCGAGTTGCATTAGCTCATCTACTTCTTGGAAATTTAAAAAAAAAAAGAAAAAAAAGCTTAAAAGTCGATCATTTGACGTTGATTAACGTCGAAGCCGACGAGTAACAGGGGGGAAAAATAGTGAGAAGTCGTCGCTTGAAGAAAACCAGCATTACAACGGGCACGGACTGTAGATAAGTGTTTGAGCTCCAAAAAAGATTTCAACCTTAGGGAATTATAACCCGCAACACCTAATGATAACTACCAATTGCGAGAAATAAACCATAGATGATACAGTTTTTACAGCCAGTCCACTCTCGCGGGCTTGGCACATAAACGGGCACCTCCTATTTAGGGAGTTTATAAGAACATGTATCCAACCATACCGACTAAATCAAAATGTATGTATTCACCATCAGACTTTATGCTCACATGACTATCTGAATAATTATGACAATGGTTCGTCATATCTACATTATACATGATTTCTCTCTCTTTTCGTTAAACCCCGACATTACGTTTCATTATGCTCGCATAGATGCCACATCGATGGACTTTTAAATAAAGAAAACCTTTACCTAGTACCGGCAATAACCATGTGAGCATAAAGTCTAATGGTGAATACGGACATTTAAATTTGGAAAAATCTTGAAAATACAAGTTTCCTCTGGATCCAAAAAGTCAGTGTGGCTAATTTGAGTGAAGTCGTAGAGCACAAAGACTTTTTATATATTCAACCATTAATTTAGTATCATCACTATAATTGAACATGCAATGTGACATGACATTTTTTTATTACATATAGTATTGAATAATATCGTTTATTATCATACAGACATGTGTTTAAAAATAAAAGTTTCGGCACCGCATTCTAGATTTTACAGTCTTTGATTTTCAGGACAGAGCTACAAGAGTAATATTTTTTTTCCTATAAAATGTAAAAATATTGACTTAGTGTGAATCATTTTTTTCGTTTTATGGAGAAATACGAATCATGTTTTTTTTCTTCTTTTAAAATGAAATTATAATAACAGTGGAAGTGAATTTTACCAAAAAGAAAAGGAAAAACAACATTAAAGGTGGGGTGGGTGTATGAAAAAAATAATAGTCGTGAATGTGAAGAATCACGCGGGCAATATTATTAACTACAGGTAAAAAAAAAATATTGTTAAAATTACTTGAAACCACTGCGTATCATATTTCGTATTTCTATATAAACACGCACATGTATAATGTACACAAACTGCGATTCTTTGGACGTTGACCCGCAATTTAAGAGAAGAAAAATCGAGAAATGACGATCATACGCCACCTCCCATTACTCCTCCTGCTAGGCCTATTTTTCTCTGCTACAGCTTGTGGAGAGTCCTCCATAGAAATTGATGGAGGGCCACCAAACGTAAGTATACCTTTTATCCTTCCAAAATTCCCTCTCTCATCTTTATCTCCATGCCTTGGAATTTAGATCTCACTCCGTTTTATCGTTGATATTATTCATTCGTTACCCCAGTACATTTCATCTGGAAAAATAAAGTTGACCAAATCTTATATTTAATGGTTGTTAACTGCTTTCCTACAGAGAAGACTTTGTGTATACACTCTGTATATAAAAACAGGCGGGCAATGTGTAGCTCCGACAACCTCTACTATCTCCGTGACTTTGGAGAATGCACGCGGTGCTTCCGTGCATGTCGCAGACATCAAATCATGGGGCTTGATGGGTCCCAAGCACACATACTTCCGACGCAATAGTGTAGATATCTTCGTTGGTGTACACCCCTGCATAGCGCCGCCCATCTGCCGAATCAAGGTGACATCTACTGGTTCAGGGTGTTCCCCTGACTGGTACCTCAGCTACGTGGACGTCACTTCCACCGGACTCAATGAGAAATGTTACAAAACTCACTTTCGCGTGAATCAGTGGCTTTCCAGAATCTTTCCGCCCTGCAAGCTCTCCGCCGTCGTTGATAGGTGCCCGTGTTTAGACGGCACAGCAAGAAGCGACGGGACTTTTGAGGTTGAAAATTCTGAGCAATTGGTTGCTTGATGATGCTTCCCCTTTCAATTATGACATGAATGTTGTTGGATCGATGAGTGACACAAGAATTTACATTTGTAGTTCTTGGTCGCATTTAAAATCGATCACGTTATTAAGTCTGAACCAAATGAATAAAAATATTTAAATAAATTATAACTAATTAAAAATCATTTAAATTTCAAATTTTTGAGTTCAGATTTTATTATTTTGACCAATAAGCATATTCTTGCTTCTTCTTCTTTTCTTTTTCATTAAAAATACATTTCAATATTAATATCTATAAACTCGTAACAGTTCAATTTTGGTTTGAAATTAAGTTCCTTTTTTATTTTAAATTTGAGTTTACTTAATATGGACAAAGGATGTGGAGAAAAGAACTCACTAAGGAACAGAATTTGAACAAGCTTAACTTTGCAGTTCAATAATTGCAATGTAGAATGAAATGCTAATAAGCTTCAAAAATTTATTATGTCACGAATATTATTTATTTAGTTTGCTAATGGACAAATCAATACATTTATAAATCTCGTAACTTAATTCCTCGGGACTCAAAGCTTAACTTCTTTAACTAAAGAATTTTTTTCTAAAAAAATCATCTATGCTTCGATTTTTGTCAAATCGAAATTAAAATGTAATGCAATCAACGTTAGCAATCCTCAAGCGTGTTTTGCTCGTTGCCAACCCTCATCAGGTATAGAAGTAAGGATGTTATAAGAGGAGAGACAGTGGTGAAACCATTCATGTTTCATGCACCGCTGGAAGTTAAGTGAACATCAGTGATGGTTAATGCATTTGACGGGCACACACGCACATGACATGACATGACACTAATATTATTTACCATAACTTTTCTTTATTTTTTCGACAAAAAGGTGTGCAAAAACTCGCATCGCACGAGAACAAAGAAAATTCCTCCGTCAAGGTAAAAGAACTTTCCTACTTCTCAAGAGCTAGGTGATTTTAAATTAAGTTTAAATTATTGATAAATTTTTACTAGACATTTAATTTATTTTTAACTCTGAAACATATATATTCAAGTACATTCTTATATATTAAGAGATTGTCTTATAATAAGTGCGTATATATAAACTAATTAATGAAATATATGCATTTTTACTAAAAAAATTTATCTAAAAAATTCTTTACTGTTATAAAAGAAAATCAAATTTATTTATTTGTTTATTTAAAAAAATTAATTATATAAATAATTATTTAATCGAATTTAACTCATAAAAAATATAATAAATTTATAATTTATATTTTTTAATAAATTTATATATTTATTAATTAAATTATACATTATGAACAATTATAACTCAATAAAAAGTGCCATCAAGTAACTAAACATATAGAAAGATAATCCGATTCCAACCTTCTATAACGAAGAAGTAAAACATAACAATCATTTTGGATGGTAATATAATTTATATTCAATGGTGACTTTGTTGTTCCATAATATCTTGAATGAACCTTGTGACATTAAGATGAGAAGATCCTCCTTCTTCAACAGCTTTCTTTGCCATTTCTGCAAGTTCTTTCGCTCGTCGTCTTCTCTCTTCTCCTTCCTTACCTTCCCCCATTACCTTATCAATGGCACTCTTGATATCTTCTCTCTTTACCAACACTCCAATCTTATCTTCTTCTCCCCATACCAGAGATTTCTTCACTCCAACTCCCACACCAATTTTCAGTATTTGCGCAGCCAATTTCTCATTAAAAAACTGGTCTCCAAACAGCGGCCAAGTTATCAGTGGCACGCCGGCACTGATTCCTTCAATAGTGGAGTTCCATCCACAATGAGTTAGAAATCCAGCAATGGCAGGATGTGATAATATCAACAACTGTGGAGCCCAACCCTTTATCAGAAGTCCTCGTCCTTTGATTCTCTCTTCAAATCCATCCTCTGAAATCCATTTCTCCAGTTCGTTTAATCTCTTCCAGTTTCTTATTACCCAGATGAATGGCCTGTTTGATGCCTCTAAGGCTAATCCCAGTTCAATCATTTGCGGAGGTGGGACATTATTGATGCTTCCAAAGCAAGCGTAGATTACAGATCTTGGCGCCTGAGAATCCAGCCATGTCAAGCATTGATGATCATCGACTGTAGATTTGTTACCCCTCTGTGCTTTGTCGTCTTCATTTTTGTTGCAGAGTGAAAGAGGACCAAAACACCAAACTCTCTCTTTTACCTTTCTGTAATCTTTTATATATTCTGGTTCTAATTCTTCGAAAGTGTTTATAATCACCCCGTATAATGCAAGATCCGCCGCCCCACATTTCTCGCTCAGATCTTTAAATTTTTCTTTAGGAGCTGCATCTGGGACCTGAGCTTTGGTGAATTCAACTTTATTAGGCAAGTTTGGGATGACGAAGTACTCCGAATCAGATTTTACAGAGTCAAGAATCTTAGAGGTATTTAAATTATACAGGGCCGAAATACAGAAGCAGCCCAACCCATGGAAACCAATTATTGGAATCTGCAACCTACTGGCAATACTACTGGCGTACGGAAAACACATATCAGAGATGATGCAGGAAGGTCGGGGTGTTAGCTCCTCGAGCAATTTTTGAACTGGGTCTCCGAGCTTGTTCACAACTGTGAGGACATTCATGAATTTGTCCAAGTCGAGCGAATCTATTATGTCGAAATTTTCATGGCCTTCTGGTAATCCAGCCTCTGCGCAGGGAAACTGGAAACAGAGGAAACTGATTCTGAGACCGGATTCTACAGCTCGAGTTATGACCGGTTCGAATCTTGCGGCGTTGACAGGAGTCGTGACGATGGTTGCGACTGCTCCACGTTCTGCCAAGAGTCTGGCGATGTCGATCATGGGGATCATGTGGCCTTGCGCCATTAATGGAAACAGGACAAAGTGAAGTGTCTGGTAGTTCTTGGAATCCATCGCTGGGTATGATTCAGAGCCAAAAAGAACCGATCCTTGAGGACCCAATTGGTTTTAACTCGGGTTCATTTCCAGAATATATACAGATACTAACATTATATACGTACGTATATGTACAGCGAGAGTTAGCTGCCGATGCAAGAGCCTACTCAGAAGCTTCATTATCTTATCCGGGGATCAAGAGGTGTACTCCAAATTCCACACGACTCTTAAACTTGCATTATTGTTCCTGTATTGGCTTGTATTAGAAGGCAAGAATCGTCTTATACTCTCTTTGTTGACTGGTAAGAATTTTTTACTTTTTGAGAAAGTTGGGTACTACTTGGCTATATCCAATTGGTTGTTGACTTGTAAAAGTTTGACTATGACTCATTCAGAAGACATGACTAGCTATGATGTTGATCGTCATAATAATAACTTTTAAAATAATAACAGTAATCAATTTCTTTAAAATAACTCTATTTTAGTTTAAACATAAATATGAAAAATATTATTTAGTAATAATTTATTAACAAACAATTTGAAGAATTAAAATCTTAAATAATATGAAAACATATATCTATTACTTTTTAGGTAAATAATCATTTAAGCCATGCTCCAAATTTTATTTCATTCATAAATATTTTTTCATTACATATAACTTTTTATTTTTTAAAAAAAGTTAATTGAAAAAAGAAGAAAAAAAAAAAAAAAAAAAAAAAAAAAAAAAAAGTGGAAACTTGTTCAAACTGTATTGAAAGCAAAATATAAAGTAAAAAAAAAAATATTTATATTGTCATTTTTTAAAAACAATTTTTATAAAAAATCATATTATCTTGAATTTCTTGGTCTGCAACTTGCTTGCTGCTGCATAATATCTTGAATAAACATAATGATGTTATGGTGAGAAGATCCTCCTTCTTCAACCCCTCTCTTCGCCATTTCTGCAAGCGCCTTATCTCGTTTTCTTCTTCTCTCTCCTTCCTCGCCTCTGTCCATCAGTTTTGCTATCACATCTTTGATCTTTTCCTTCTTTACACACAGCCCATATTTCTCTTCTTCTCCCATTACCAGAGCTTTCTCTGCTCCAACCCATATCCCAATTTTCAGAAGTTGCACGACCAGTTCGCTATTGCAAAACTGGTCGGAAAAAAGCGGCCAGGTGATCAGCGGCACTCCGGCACTGATACCTTCAATCGTCGAGTTCCATCCACAGTGAGTTAAGAATCCTGCAATGGCGGGATGTGACAAAATTACTACTTGTGGAGCCCAGCCGTTTATCAAAACACCTCTTCCTTTGATCCTCTCCTCAAACTCATTTTCTGAAATCAATTTCTCTAGTTCATCTGATCGATTCCAATCTCTTATCACCCAAATGAATGGCCTGTTTGATGCCTCTAAACCCAATCCCAGTTCCATCACTTGTTCAGGGGGTACAGTACTTAGGCTTCCCAGGCATGCGTAGATTACGGAACTTGATTCCTGAGCGTCAAGCCACGTCAACCATTGGTGTTGGTCGACTGTACTTTTCTTCCCTCTTTCTGCTTTGTCCAATTCATTCTTGTTACAGAGCGAAAGAGGCCCAACGCACCAGATCTTTTCCCCTCGTGCCTTTCTGTATTCTCTGATATACTCTGGTTCTAGTTCTTCAAAAGTATTTATAATCTCCCCATATGCTGCAGCTGCTTTTGCTCCTATGTTCTTCAACGTCTCCATGAAGTCCTCGTCCTTGTACAATGGTATCTGAGCTTTGGTGAGTTTAACTTTATCAGGCAAGTTTGTCAGAACGAAGTACTCTGACTCAGATTTCACAGTTTCATGGAATTTGCTGGTTAAGAAATCGTGCATGCACATCAGGTAAAAGCAACTCACCGGACGAAACACGATTCTTGGTACTCTGAACTTGGCGGCAATGTCGCTGGTATATCCAATTAGGAAATCAGATATAACGCAGCAAGGCGGCGGTGTTAGCTTCTCAAACAATTCTTGAACGGGTTCTTCGAGCAAGTCAACAGCTCTGAAGAAATTCGGATATAAGTTAATCGAGTCCAGCATGTCCAAGTTCTCGAGCCCTTCTGCTAGTCCTGCCTGTGCGCATGGAAACGGGAGCTGGACCAGATTGATTCTGAGACAAGATTGTAAAGCTCGGGAGATGACTGGTTCGAATCTTGAAGCATTGAGAGGGGTTGTAACAATGGTGATGGTCGCACCCAGTTGAGCTAATAGTCTAGCCAGGTCAATCATGGGGATCATGTGGCCTTGAGCCATGAAGGGGAACAAGACGAAGTGAAACTTCTGGTTGTGATTTTGGGTATCCATGGCGGATCTGATAGATAAAACAGGGAGTTCTTGGACTATTTAAGGATCAAAATAAGTTGGTCGAGAAACACATGTAATGCATATATATATAAAGAAGGTTCAAGAACAAACTTATATTAATATATATATATACATACACACACACATAGCTGGTGGTGAGTGGTGATGTAAGGGGTGATATACATACATAAGGTTTATTTACACCTACCCCTCTCCCCTCTTTTTTTTTTTTTTTTTTTTTTGTTAAAAAGAAAAATCAATTACTGAAAGATCATAACAACATTACGCATACATCACGGAATTATTTGATCTCAACAGCCAGCAACGTTAATTCGAACTTATGTTGTGAGAAAAAAGATATAAAAATAACATATCAAATGAATATTTAATGTTTTTACTATTATCAAAATATTACTCTCTTACTCATATTTTCAAATCTATTATCATGCTAACAAAATTATTTACAAAAATTAGAACTATATATTAAATCAAATAACCCTATGTGGATAAGTCTTATTATTTTATTTTTTTGGTCCAATTGCAATCAAATTATTGCTCTATGATTGCACATTTGCGTTTGTACAAAATTAAAAGGATTCACATGCTTTAGATCTGGAAATAATTGCATTGTTTTTAGTTGACTCCAATTAAAATTAGTTTTGTATTATGTAGTACTACATACGGAATCCTTTTAATTTTAGAAAAAAAATAATTAATTAAACAATTTTTAATTAAATTTTTAATCTCATAGTATAACGTTTAATTAGATACAAATTTTCAAATTATTTTAAAATATTGTATTTAATCTAGACTCAAAAGACAATATATGTAAAAGTTTTTCAAAGTGATTTATTATATATTTAAAAATTCATTTCAAAAAGAGAAAAGAATTTGTTGATGAAAAAATTATATCATATGTAATTTTCATTAAATAAGTTGTATTATTGAGCATATTTAATATTGTAAATAAGTTATTAATTAATTTTGAGTTTTATTCATGTACTGTACATATGCACCTAATCTATTTGTATAAATGCATAAGGCTATGTATTCTGTTAATGAATTAATGAGATCTCTCGAGCTATAATATGGTACCAGAGCACCTCGCTACTATTTTTTCTTGTTTTTCTTCTTGTTTCTCGATAGATTCTATTCGAAGTACTTGACTAAAGTTTGTGTCCTTCTTAATTATCCTCCTCTCATGAAAGGGTATGCATTTTTTGATATTAATGTCAAATAATTTATTGTTTATGGGATATAATTTTTCACGACTAAAATTTTATTTTCACAATATTTAAGTTCAAAATCTTAATATAAATTATTTTTTCAGAATCTGCATTAACTTTATCTGTTTGTGATATACATTCATCTCATGAGTTTAGTCTTCTCTAGTATTATACCTTATGAGGATTTAAATATTCATAATACTATTTTTACTCAGACTTCATTGTATTATAAAAATCTCTTGTCATTCTCAAGTGGTTAAAAGATAAACTAGAGTAAGTAAGCCTCCTTTATTTATAAGATTTTATTGTATTATTGCTAATCTTTGCATTAATACTGAAAATAATAGGGTATCCTTTGTCTAAGTACATGTCATTTATCTCATATACATAAAGCTTTCATAGTAGTTATATCTTCATAAGCTGAGCTGCAGTTCTACCATCATGTTTTGATTCATGCTCATTAGAGAAAAGCTAGGCAAGAAGAATTAACGGCCATGGAAAATAAAAATACATGGTCTGTAGTTGAACTTTCTCTTGCTAAACATTTCTACTGGATGTCATTAGATTTGTGAAATAAAGTATATGGTTAAATGAACAAGTGATGGAACTGGGATTAGGTTTAGAGGCATCAAATAGGCGATTCATTTGGGTGATAAGAGATTGGAATCGATTAGATGAAGTAGAGAAATTGATTTCAGAAACTGGGTTTGAGGAGAGGATCAAAGGAATAGGTGTTTTGATAAAAGGTTGGGCTCCACAAGTAGCGATTTTCTTAACTCACTGTGTAGACTCCAAATTCCACACGACTCTTCTTGTATTATTATTCGTGTGTTGGATTGTAATAACTAGAAGGGTAGGATCGTCTTATACTCCATTTGTTGAATGGTAAGAGTTTTTTTTTTTTCCTTGTAGTTTCCTAAATTAGTCTTCAGACGTTAAGAGTTTCTAGAAATAGTTGACTGTAACTTGTCTTCCATTTTGAGAAAGGTGGGTGACACTTGGCTGTATCCAATTGGATTTTGAGTAGTTGAAGTTTGACTAATAACTCATTCGGAAGGCTTGACTAGATACGATGTTGTTTGGTAATTATTAAATACTAATTTTTTAAAATACTAATAATAATAATTAAATTCTTTATAATAACACTTTTTTTAATTTAGATATCGCAATTAAAAATAAGTTTTTGTTTTATTATAAGTGTTTTTTAGTAATAATTTATTAACTAACAATTTAAAAAATAAAAAAATCTTTAAATAATATGAAACGTATATTCATTACTTTTTTGGTAAATTATCATTAAATCCATGCGCCAAATTTTATTTTATTCATAAATATTTTTTCTTTACATAGAACATTTTAATTTGTTTTTAAAAAAAGTAAATGTAACGCCCAAAACTTTTTTATTTATTTTATTTTAATTTTTATTAAAATTTTGTTTTATTTTATTTTATTTTATTTTAATAATTAATTTATAAAGTTTTAATTTAATTTAATAGAAATAATAATAATAAAATGGGGTAAAATTATTTTTGAAATTTAATTAAAATTGATTTTGGGAAAAAAATGTGAAAATTTAGATTCTGGAAATGTTTTTGAAAAGAAAATCGAAAACCGGAGGTCAAAACACAATTTAAAAAAGTAGTGTCATGTCAGCAGCCACGTCAGCAACCCGGTCAGCAGCCCCGGTCAACCAGGACATGCCGTGTAGCAGGGACGTTGATGCGGGGAGCCACGCAGGACGGAGACATGTGGGCGAACTGTGTGTGCGCGATCAGACAGCCCAGATCCGTTCCCGCGTACACGAACTGCCCAGATCAAGAGTGCGTGCGGACAGCCCAGATCTCATGCGTGCAGACGGCCCAGATTCATTCACAATTTATCGCGATCGGACGGCCCTGATTAAATCATGATGGATGGTTTAGATTAAAAGGGGAATGTTATAAATAATCGCATCCACACCCAACCCCAAACCCTAGCTGCCAGAACCCTCGCCGGAGAAGACGACCCAGCCACCGGAGGAACCGGCCGCCGCCACCCCCCGCCGCACCGGAGGATTTTTCGGCCGCCAAACGAGGTAAAATTTCTTCCCTTGACTCGTTTTTTGATGTTGAACCTCCCTGTGGCCAAATCGGAGCCAAACCACTGGCCAATTGATCGGAAAACACCGACGAAGTCTAGCGGCGCCATTGCAGGTTTCCTCGATTTTTGTCTCCGATAAGACCATTTTCGGTTCCCGTTCGATGTAATTTTTATACCACTGTGACCACCGTCCTTTTCTCTACAGTTTGACCGAAGTAAAACACCAAATCGCGACTCGCGCCGGAGGAGCCGCCGCACCCGAGAGCTCCACCGCCGGTAAGTCTCGATTTTCTGTAATTTTTTGCCCCACCAAGGGCCCTAGGGGTGTTTTATCACATGAACTAATGCAAGTTTGGGCGAATACGACCGAAAACGGCCAACCCGAGGCAGATCGCCGCCGCGCAGGAATTCTGAAATTGGCCGAAAAGGCCCTGGATCTAATTTAGGGTTTTTTGGGGACATGTGCAAGTACCAGAAGTGTGTTTTAATTATGGAAAAAAATTCAGGGAATCTAGGGACTGTCCGTAGGTGCAGTGAGAACCCGATTTCAGACTCCGAAACAAGTAAGGATCCCTCATCCTATTTTCTATCACGGCATTAAAGCTTAATAAATGATAAAACGGTATTTTATGAATTAATAAATATTGCTAATGGGGCCCGAACCTAATGTATTCGTCGGTCTGTTCTTGTTTGATTTATTTTACAGTTTTAAATGCATTACGGTATCTGATCTATTTATTTTATGATTTTGAATGCATAAATCACAGTTTCATTTATTATGGTTTGAATTATTGTGAACCCGATGTTGTGTTGTCTTGTTTGGTGTCCATTACTGGTTTATGTGTTTATGTTTGATTGGATAATTGAGATTAAGAAAAATAGAAAAAGGTATGTGAATTGATAAATGGATAATTTCGACAGCTTAACTAGATATCCTGCGAGATGGTGGACGGATCGGGTCCATAGGGAACCCTACCGGGAATGTGGTCTCTCATATCGGACGGGGTATGGAGACTTTATGTGTTTTGGCGCCCATAACAGACGGGGTATGGGGATGGCCCGTTTCACACTCATACCCGGACGGGGTATGAGGTTTATGATTTGGCGCCCATACCGGACGGGGTATGGGGACGGCCCTGGAATTAAGTTATTAATGTGAATGGTTCACATGTAGTGGAGACCCCTATGAATCCCCATGGATACTAGTAGGTTGATAAAAGAGGAAATCTGTTGCGTGATGATTGAAATGCAAAAGTATGACATGTACTATGATACAAATTATGTATGAATTCATGATATTTATGATGTTATTGTTTCTTATAAGTTGTTTTCATGAATCTCACTGAGGTAAGTGGACAATAAAGGTTTTTATTATTGATAAATGAGTTTGTTATAAATTATGCTCCATTGGTCGTTTTTGTTTTCTACCAACCTTTACTTCTGTGATAGTGAGATAGTGTGATTTCTTTACTAGGCTAGTGTAACTCATTCCTTACTTAACCATTTCAGATCAGGAGGACTTGGTTTCCGAACCCGTTCTTGAGGAAGACGGCAAGTAGAAGCATAAGAATTTATTAGTTTTCCTTATAGTATTCATTCATAGTATTTCCTTTAGTTAGTTTATTCTTTCATATGTTTAATTTGTTTTGGTTATTGTGTAAGGGATGTTATATTTTATTTCGCTTCTGCATTTATAATAAATTTATACATTTCCTTTCAATTTCCAGGGCCGTTACAGTTGGTATCAAAGCCGCATTCCTCAGACCCATCCCTTACATAATAATACTAGAGGAATACCAAACTGAGAATTATTACTCAACCCTTCCTTGTGAAATGCAGGTGCAGAGAGATGAGGAGAGGGAGACCCCCACTAAACCGAGCAGCCCGGGATGATTCGCTTCTGGA